TCTCTGGTGTAGGTTGCACAGACGGCAGATGGTGTGGACGCTGACCTCTGGAAAGACGGCTTATTTAAATCCAAGGTTACCAGATACCTGTGTTTCACAAGATCATTTTCCAAAGAAAATGTAAGTCTGGTAGTTGTTTCCATTTGCTGAGTGAGCATAAGTAATTTACATTCCTGTTTGGAATTTCGTTTTTTTGGGTTGTGGTTTATTTTCATTGCCATGTTAATTTATCTGTGGTTTTAGTGAACTGGGTAGAATCAGCAGCTAGTGCTGTTTCATTTATTAACAGTGTTATTAACCATGTACCCAAGTGTACAGTGAATTCCATTAAAATGTGTTCTCAAAAGGAAACCAGGAAATTTCTATCAAAGCTCTTATTTGCCTACCTTCCTCCAAGTGACAAATCACAGAGTAGTATGATGTGAGAGTTTTCCGGTAGAGCTGGATTTACTGCTGGCCAGCAAATGGCAGCATAGCTCAGAGGAGGACCTGCACGGTCCCCTGGCCCACAGATGGGCCTTATTTCCAGAGTGACTTTTTCTTTTTCTCTGAGTCTCTATGGGACATATGATATTTCATCATTTTTGTAGGTAGGTGTTCAGATGTACAAATTTCTCTTAGTGTGCTGATTTTTAGTTCTTGGGTCCATAAATTAGGAAACTTTAAAGGTATCTACTAAGACTTTTCCAATAGGATGTCTGAATGGATGGCTTAGAACTAAGAGAACTCACTTTAGGGAGTCTGTACTCTGTGTGAGATCTGTCCTCGGCACTCCACAAATACACCTTGTTCCATCCTCAGACAAGCTCTCCAAGTCTTGTCTCCTTTCCATAAATGAAGAAACTGAAATCCGAGAGTTCACAAGCCTGTCCAAGGTCACATCTGTCTTCCCTAGCTCCCAATAGGGAGCACATTTCCATTTTCAGGGGTGACATTTTATTTTTGGCCTAAATGTTATTNCCCAATAGGGAGCACATTTCCATTTTCAGGGGTGACATTTTATTTTTGGCCTAAATGTTATTTATTGTCTCTTTCTAATGCAAATATTTGTTTTTGGAAATGTTTTTATTAATTTATTTTTATCAATTTTATTATAACAGTCATATGTGTTCATAGTTAAAAAACAAAACAACTTCAAACAGCTTCATTCAGAAGTGTGAAAGGGGAGAAGTAACAGTCTCCCTCTCCTCCCCTGCCTGGGCCTGTCACTGGGTCCTTCAGCATCCCCTGAACGTAGACCATCACACTGTTCTCTGGCTTGCAGTCTCTTCCACCAGCCCGTTCCTATTGTTTGTTGATAATTCTTTGTTAGGAGAATTATTCCTAATGTATTCAGGACTGGGGGAGAAGTCACTCCTTTAATTTTCCCCCCTAATTACAAGAGTAATAGATGCTCATTATAAAGTACAGAGTTTATGATGGAGTAGGGGAAATTCCTGGCATTAAACACTGGAAATCTTTTTAATACAGGCTTTTGAATGCATTTTTAAATACCAGAAAGGTGGCAGCTGAGCTAAAGAGTAGACACCTGCACTGTGAGCTTGTAATGAGTCTGCGCAGGTCCCTCAGGCTCACCAGGAGCAAGTCTGAAGGCAGCATTGCCTTTCCAGACGTGGGGCTCGTGAGGTTAGAGTAGCCCCCGTCACCCCATCCTCCCCACCTGCACCCACACCTGCACTCCCCCAGCCCCTTTGTCCCTGGAGCTTACCTAAACTCTTTTTTGAGATTTTTTTTCTATTTTTAGCGTTTGTCACCTCTGTTCTGTCCATTGACTACAACTTTCTGCAGAAGGTAACATATTTACCAAGGCTCAGGGCTGTAAGGAGGAACTCTGAGGATTTTAACTAACTCCTGCTCACACCCTCTCTCCACCCAGTGGTTTCCTGGTGTTCATTCCTGATCTCTGCTCAGGCTTCATATTTCCTGACCAAAGAAGCTTTAACTCAAAACTATGGCCTTGGAGGACAGCCATGATCTATGTGACCATTTCTGGTTTTTGTTTGTGCATTGCATTTCCCCCCAAAGGTGTGGTGTATTGGTGCTCTAGGCCAGAAAAGGCCCTGCATCCCTTGGGTGGGGATAATGACAATCTAAACATGACAAAGAGAAGTCACTGGGGCTTGTTAGGTTTGAGTGTCATGGGTAAGCGTATTAGAGAAAATGCATTGGTTTTGGCAACATTCGTGGAACATCAAACAGATGTTTATTGGGTGTGATGAAGGGATGTAAGAGGACAGGGCAGCAGGGGAAACCTGTGCTTTAATCATGAAGCAGTGGGGGAAATAGGTGTGCTTTGTTTTCAGAAGAAGAATGAATGGATCGTGGGATCCAAAAGATCAAATCAAGGGATCAAATTTCGTTTAGGAACAAATCAAGGGGCCCACCGGCCGGGCCAGGAGTAGAGTAGGAATCAGGCGTATTTTATTCTGTTACAGCCAGTCTGTGCTGGTACTGCAGTCTGAGTGAAGACTTTGCAGAGCATAATTTTTTACAACTGCACAGGAGGGATATGGGATCTCAAGACTGGACAGATTCTTAATTAGGTGACTTGAGACTCCCCACAGGTAGGAGTTTGGGGAGACCCCTTTGGAACCAAAATTCTTTTTCTCCAATAATGCTATTAATACAGAAACCTGGCTTTGGAGTGACATTGCTTCCTGGGGAAGGATCGAGATTAATTGCACTTTTCATGCCCTGTACTTTCTGCATTACCTGTAATAATAATGTACATAGATTAGGTAGGGAGGATATTAAACAGAAGGATTTATGAACATTTGAATATTAAGTTGGTTATCTGTGGCTACCTTAAATGCAAGGTTGTCAAAAATAATTACAGTATACTAGCAAATACTGGCTACCAGAGACAATATAAATACCCTGAGTCAGTGCATATTGGGCTTTTGGCATGAATCATTTGCTCAACAAGGATTGGGAATACGTTCTTCATATTTATGAGGAGGAAATGAAAGAGAGCACAGATGGGGGAGGGGAGAGGAACAAGCAGAATTAATGGTGTCGCAGACCTACTGTATTAAACCCAGCACAGCGCAGCCCGTGTGAGGAGGGACCACACTCAGGCTGCAGGAAGCTTTGATAGTGCAGCCTCCCGCTTTGTATGCATGGGAGGGTTTTTTGATGCTTTTTTTAATGGCTGCACCGCTGATGTTCTGGTTTTATGATCAGGGACATTTGTAGAGAGTGTGGAGGGTGAGGTTGCTAAGTGGTTTGCAGTTGACTTCTGTAAAACCCTACTTGTCAAGTAGAAGACATTTGAGAAGGATATTGATGAATGCCCATCCATCTACAGGGCAGAAAACATGCCCAGTTGTTAATTTCTCAATGCAGAAAGCAGTGATGACATGGAAAAGCAACTGCCATGAAAAAAAATTATGATAGATTTGATCAGGCGATTCTGAAAGCAGCTGATGTTTGCGAGTTAGTTAACGGTTCAAACCCTTCCTATGCGGTCAGAGATTTATTCTATTTTAGGGAGGGTTCCACTTCCCACTTGCTGCAGCGCACTGTACGTTGTCTTCCTGAGACCCAGCTACCTGAAAGGTACTAATATTAAATTGTTGGCAAGTACAGTAGTTCTGAGAGAAAGAAACAGTTTCGTGATGGCAGTGCCACAGAAACACTGGACGCAGGTTACACTTGCCACTTCGACCTTCATAGTTAAATCCCAAGAATTTATATCATCTGTGTACTTTTTATTCATAATGTATTTCTTAAATATCCTTTCACTGTTTCCATTAATATAGTTAAAATTTGCCATCCAAGCAAATCCAATTGGATTTCTGACTCTGAGTGGTCCACCCAGTTGAAAAATGTACCAAAAAAACATTAATTTATTTAGCAAATAATTACTGAGTACCTCCTGTGTGGCAAGAACTTTGCTAGGCTTGGATTTACAGGTGGAACAGAAATAGTTTTGTCTCCATGAATCAAACTCTAGTGGGGAGACATAATAACAACCTCACAAATATATGATTGTAAGTTATATGAAGGAAAAAAGAGTGCCAAGAGAGAATATAGCACTGGCACTGTGCAGGTGGAGGTGAGGGTCTTGGCTCCCCATGCACAGAGGTGGAGGTAGATGTTCTTCTTCTCTAAGCAAGACAGGAACAATGGCCTACATTGCTGCTGAGGGCAGAGTGATGGGCTGACCAGCTAGATGTTTGTCCAGGGATGCAGAACAAGCAAACTGAAAGCATTCTCATGCTAGGCTTTGGGGGATGAGGTGCTTCTGGAAAATGGGTGTGCAAAGTCTGTTGCTAGTATCCTAATAGGAGAGATTTGGGATCGGAACCCATAATTCTTTCCTTAACTGGCTCTGACTAGAGAGAGGGGGAACTAAGCTGCAGATTATTCCGAAGACTTTAATGAAATCTCCAAGGTGGCCCCACATATTTAAGTTGTAGGGTAGACATCTTTAGAGCTCATTTCCAACTTGAAATGTGGGCTGCAAGTGCTGGCGTGTTTGCAAAGAATTCTCTCTCACAATTACAGAATGGTGTACTGGCTTTTGAAAGATAAAGATATTCTCACACCAGTTCCAGAAACTGTGCATTGTGGACCCCAGATACTACCACTAAGTAGAAACTTTAAGAGGCCCTTGTGCATGTCATTTTAGAAGATGTGTAATATTAAGGCTGTAGGGCTTTCACTCTGTATTAGTTTATGATTCTTGGGATTTTGCAAAATGTATCTAGCAACTGAAATGTGTGTCAGTATGCAGACTGTTATCACTTAGGAGTGTGATTGGTTCCCTGTAGTGGTTCCCTGTTAGGTTTAGATGCTGCTCTCCCCCTACAGCGAGTGCTCCAGGAGTTTGTTCCTGTACTGGCCCTGAGGTGTGGTGCTCAAGGCTGAGTGGCAGCTTGGTCCTGGGACTTGTGAGCACAGCTGCCCTCTGCTGGGTTATGTCTACACTGTCTCCTGGGTTGCTCATCTGGCTAACCAAGGCCACATTGGAATGAGTGGCTTTGAAGTTCTGCAGATGAAACTCCTTCCCGGGAGCCACCCATCCCTCTGTAACCACTGGGGAACATTAAGTGTCACCTACTCTAATTAACCTGCTGTCACAGAGCTGCACAAGTCATTGTGTTAAATATGCATCTTGAAGCCAAAATGGCATACCTACCACAGGCGTGTTCAGATTAATAGTCTGTATCTCTTTTCTTTCTTCCCAAGAGTCATTTGGGGAACGTGTTAGTGGATATGAAGCTCATTGACATCAAGGACACTCTGCCTGTGGGTTTCATCCCAATTCAGGAGACAGTGGACACACGTGAGTCATTCTTTACTGCCACTCATCACAATGAGGGTTTTCTTCCTCCAGGAATATTTTTAGGTATTTTTTATGTGCATTTTTCTTCAGAAACATTTTACATTTTAAGAGTCTTTACTACACACCCACGAATAAATTCTGCTGTTTTTGATGCGTGTCCAACTTGGTTCTCCAAGGAGTTTGCAGAGTGTTCTGGGTAGTGGCATGTAAATGAGCAGAATGTCCCTTTCTTTTAGAATGGTGCTCCCTGCCGAATCAGCTCACTCAGGAACAGATGATGAGAACACATATGACGATGAGACCAATTACAGCTTGTCTTTTGTCCACCTTCTGGTATTGCTGAAGCCAAGCTTGGCAAAAGACCCAGGAGCAAAGGGAGGAAAAAAAAAAAAAATCAAAAGACGGCCAGGGAATACAAGTGCAATAATGTGACCATTTTGGGCTCTTAGAGCAAATAAGACAAGTGAGAACCCAAAAGACTACAAATTAGAGTGCACAGGATTCTAATTTGACCAAACATTCTGACCATTGAGCAATGCTGAGCAGGAGCCTGAAGTGTCTTGAGGTTCCTGTCCTGCATATCAGTTATTAAATAGTGCTGGAAAACATCTGCATATTTGTGCTTCTCATTTCGATGTAATGTAACTTAACCCATTTTATTTTTAACTTCTTGTGAGCCAGCTTTGGGATATCCACAACAGTGAAGCAATGAATAAAAAACAAGTACAGAGAATCCTTTCCTTATGACACATGGTTCATTTATGAAATTCTGTATCTCATTCTTTGTACTACATTATTTTTCCAGTTAGCCCCTTTTTGGACCCACTATTTTTTGCTGTTTTCTTACTAGCAAAGACCAGACTTTCATGTAGGCCAGATGTTTCATATCTACACAGACCCCACATAGCTGTTATTTTAATGAAACAAGTAGATCCCATTGTGTAGCAGATTTTTTATTTTCTTGATAGTCTCCTCTCTTTTGGACATTGGGTTGCTTTTAGTTGTTTGGTACTGTATGTGTTAGCTAGCAATTGTAATAACTGATATTTAGCCTGTGTTTACTTGTATGCTAGACCCTGTGATAAAAACTTTACATACCTGATTTTTATGTAATCTTCAGAAGACCCCTTTTTAGAGATGGGTATTATTTTACCCATTTCACATATCTACTTAGGGATCAAAGAACTTAGCCAAGGTCACATATCTAGAAGTAGGGGAGTGACTAGAATACACAAACAAGTCAGACTCCAGCCACACTTTTAACCACAATGCCAACACTGGAAGAGCATGTGTGTAAGCTCCTTTTGCAGGTAGATTTTATATATTTATATGTATAAGTGTTTTTTGGTAACAGCTTTATTAAGAAATAGTTTATGTATCATATAGTTCATCCATTTAAAGTGTACAGTTCAGTGGTTTTTTTGTATATTTACAGAGTTCTGCAACCATTACCACAATCAATTTTAGAACATTATCTGACCCCAGAAAGAAACCCTGTCCCCATTAGCAGTCACTCTCTATTTCCCCCCAACCCTCACCTCCCCACCCCTGCCAGCCCTAGACAACCACCAGTCTACTTTCTATATAGGTTTGCCTATTCCGGACATTTATATCTTTGATCCATTTTGAGTTAACTTTGTATATGATGTGAGATAGGGGTCCACCTTTATTCTTCTGATTCTGAACACCCAGTTGTCCAGCACTACTTGTTGAAAAGACCGTTCTTTCCCCACTGAGCTGTCTCAGCATCCTTATTGAAAACCAATTGACCATAAGTGTGAGGGTTTATTTCCGGACTCTTCTTTTGATCTACATGTCTTTCCTGATGTAAGTACTACACAGTCTTGACTGCTGTAGCCTTGTAGCAAGTTTTGAAATTTGGAAGTATAAGCTCTCCAACTCTGTTCTTTTTCAAGTTTGTTTTAGCTATTCTGGGTTTCTTGAATTTCCATATGAATTTTAAGATTCACTTTGTCAATTTCTGCAAAGAAGACAACTAGGATTTTAGTAGTAATAGTGTTGAATTTGTAGATCATTTGTATATATATAGATTTTGAATGATTTCCTTATGATAAGTTTCGAGGTACTTGAGGCTACTGGTTTATAGGTCCTCTACAGTCTGCCCCCAACCTTCCTCTTCATATATAGTCCTCATATTCACCCTGCAATTTACTCAAACCAAGTGTCTCACTGTTCTCTCTTCACTGTCTTTTCTTTCCTGACTCTAGGTGTTTCCTTTGCGGTCTTCCCTGCCCTTTCCCTCCACTCTGAATGCCCCTAACCCTGTATCTTTCAAGGGTGGGCATCAGTGTTCCCATCTGCTTGAAACAGCCTCTGCTGCTTCATTCCAGTTTGAAGCAAGCTCGCTGTCCTCTCCATAAATAGTCCGCTTAGACTGATGAGGGCCTCGTGTTGGCCAGGCACTGCAGGCTTCAGGATATAAGGATGAATAAGATACTGGCCCTGGCCCCAAGGAGCATCATCTAGTGGGTGACCTGGACCTGAAAATAAGGAATTGCACTGCAACCCAATCAGGGAGGGCTTCCTCTCTCCTGCCTTCTTTACTGCTTGCAGCGCACTTGGTGCAGCACACATGTGAGAAGTTGTAAGGTGAGCACACCTAAGTCACACTGAGGGGAAGCCGAGGGAGGCGACCAGTCCTGCCTCTGAGCGCCCGCCTTTGCCTCGGTTAGCACACACTGCAGCTTGGCCTAGGGGGGTGTCAGACTCCGCTAGTATTCAGTCTGACTCTGTCGCTTACAGCTGTGGGACCCCGAGCAAATCACCTCACCCTCCTGGGCTTCAGTTTCTTCATTTGTCAAATGGGAGGAATAGAGCGCCCGCCTTTGCCTCGGTTAGCACACACTGCAGCTTGGCCTAGGGGGGTGTCAGACTCTGCTAGTATTCAGTCTGACTCTGTCGCTTACAGCTGTGGGACCCCGGGCAAATCACCTCACCCTCCTGGGCTTCAGTTTCTTCATTTGTCAAATGGGAGGAATGTTACCTGCCTCATAATGTGGCTCGTAGCGTGCGTTATAGCCATTTATATGTTTTCTTCATGCCTTTGCTGTTGATCTCTCTCTTGGAAGCAAAATCCAAGTTTAATTCATCTTTGAATCACCTAAGGTACCTACACACATGGTGCCTTGCTTATAGGATGGCCTCAGTGAAGATCAGCTTTATTACTCTCTGTTGCCAAATTAACTTCCAGAAATACCAGTTCACAGTGCCACCAATGACACAGGCTTGTACCTGTATTCCACAGGCCTGCCAGCATGGGTTGTCAATTTTTTATTCAGTTTTACCATTTTAATTGTATTTAATTTTCACTTCCTTGTTTATTAGTAGGACTGAACATTTTCACAAGTGTTCGCTAGCTCTTTTTGCTTATTCTTATATGAATCGTCTGCTCAAGAACTAAAATTGCCTTGTAGACGTCTATTCATTTCCCACTTCTCCCCTGTGCTTTTCATAGTTTTAAAATTTGCATTGGTGTTCGTTTTTGACAATTAACTGACTTATAACGTCTTTATATTGATGCACTGTAGAGCCACAATAGATTTCCCATTCTACATTTTCCTCTCAGTTAGCTTAACCAGTTAAATGAGGCGGCAAGGGCTGAGTCTTGTCTGGGCCGGAGGTTTGCTTGCTGTGGGGCCCAGTGGTCCTGGTTGGGAGCTACTCCCCCAGGACTGGGGGTGCATCAGTTGCAGTCCTGTCTGTGGGTGTTCTGAGGTCGGGTCCTGTGCTCCCCATCAGGTGCATTATCACACCAGAGGGGAGCCTCTACATTTCCACTCGTAGGGTCATTTCCTGGAGCCTTATCCAGGGAACAGGAGAGAGCCCAAGCCAACCAGATAAACATGGTTAGCTCTGTGTCACTGAGGGTATTTAAAGCTCTGATTTTATAAAGTCGGCCAAAAAGATGAGATTCCTGCAATTAATTCAAAATGCAGTTTCTTGTAATTCGTATAGCACTTAAAAACTGGAAGACTGTTTTGGTAAAGTGCTGTGTACTTTCTCTGTGTTCATTAGCACGACCGAACACATGTCTATTGACTATATATAATATGTTTACTTAAAATTAGGCCTGCTTAAGCATGTATAATTAGTGGCTCCATCTCTTACCCCAAGTTTGCTATAGATGGGGGAATGGAGCTGAGCGCAGCATGGCCAAAGCAAGTGAAATACCTGCTTTGTTTACCAAAGTAAATTTCGTTTATTTTGAGGAAAGTTTGCACCTTCCTCGCCCTTTCAAAGGCTGACGATATCAGCTAACGATTTTTAAAGGTGCAGAATTTCTATAGACGACCCCCCTCCCCAACCCTGGTATCATCTTTGCCTTGTTAGGTACAAGGTTTGGGGTCTGGATTCAGGACATTGTTATGCACAGCTCGTAGATCTGATCTAGCCCTCAGTATCCAAACCTGAGGGAAAAACCCAAAAAGTTTCTGAGTTTCCATCTGGCTCTTTAGAAAACAACCCCCCACCCCAGTAACAACAACAAGATGATACCTCTGATTCTACCCCACCCCGAGTCACCCCAGTAGACTCTGCGGGCAGGGCTGCCTTTCCCTCATTCCGCACCTCGATTTGAATGTGCTGTTGAATGTGCTTATTTCCTGTCGCAGAACTGAAAGGTTTTGGAAGTCAGCACCAAGCACGGACATAGATTATGGACTAGAGACTTACTTGTAATAATGATGGTAAGATCCCTGTGGCTATTCTTGACTGAGCACTTACTGTATGCCAGGTTTCGGGCTAAGTGAATCATGTGTTATCAGATTGCATCCACCTGATGTCCCTGTGGGGTAGTGTTTTATGAACTCCTTTTACAGATAATGAAACCAAGGTTCGGAGAAATTAACTAACTTGCCTAAGGCCACAGTGCCAGAAAATGGTGGAGTTGGGATTTGAACCCAGATCCATCTGGCTCATGCATTGAATGGCTACAGCTGATTGAAACTCATGTTTAAAAGCACAAATGAACAAACAAAAAACACGTCATTGGTCACCACTAGACGTTGCTAGGACGCCAGCTCATTACCCTAAGACTTGATAAGTGAGAGAAAAGAATCACATTCTTATCCTCTTTTTCCTGTGCAAAATCTATTTCAGGGAGAACAAATAGTTGAACAAAAGTTATTTTTTGTATAGAAGAATTCCAGCTAACAAATGCAGAAGGAATGACAGAATTAGAAAATTACCATTTTGAGGGCTGGCCCGTGGCTCACTTGGGAGAGCGTGGTGCTGATAACACCAAGGCCATGGGTTCAGATACCCTTACCGGTCATCTTTAAAAAAAAAAAAAGAAAATTACCATTTTGAAACCTTTATTGAAAGTCTAGATTTTAGCCACGGTTGTCAGGATGAGAGAACTCAGAGAGTGGCAGCTGGGGAACTTTATGACCAAGGTTCCAGGCCGCTACCATGGGAACCCAGTGGGAGTGGCACCAATAGACTTCATGCCATAAGAAATGCTTGTGCTGCCTGTGACACATTCTCACCTAAGAAATCTAACCCAGATCTAATCGATCCTTAGCTCTGGCAGTTTACAGGAAACACAGGGGAATGATCCAATTTCTCCAACCTATCGTGCCCTGAAGAAAAAGGGAGCTGGGAGAGGTTGTCAAAGAATAAAAGGGACTTACGAGACTTAACAATCAAATGAATGCATAGACATTGTTTGGATCTTGAGCCAGACAAACCGACAGTAAAATGACATTTTTGAGATAATGGAGAAAAGTTGAATGGTTATTAAGGAATTTTGTTCCTTTTGTTAGGAAAAAAGTGTCTGTCATAGGTGCTTACTGAGATGGTGACGGGTGTTGGGATACATTTTACATACGCTGGCAAAGCTAAAGGATGAGGGGGGATGAGACCAGCTTGCCCTTGTCAACATTATTGAACCTGGGTGACGGGAATATGTGGATTCATTCCGCTGTCCTCTGCTTTGGGGTACATTTGAAGATTTCTATAATAAAAAGTGAAAAAGAAAAGTCCAAGTGCTGCGATGTGTTTAATAGCTAAGGCGTCAGTGTGGGGACCTGCTGGCTTGGGCAGGAGCAGGTTGTGGTTGTGGCCCCTGGATTCACTGAAGAAGTGTGTGAGCTCCTTGGAACTCCTTCTGGGGGGGGGGGGGG